GCCTCACAGCGCATCTCTAAGGCTGGTGGGTGCAGGGAGCCGGTGCGACGGGCGCGTGGAGATGTTGCAGCACGGGACGTGGGGCAGAGTCCTGGATGATCAGTGGGACATGGAGGACGCGAGCGTGGTGTGCCGGCAGCTGCGCTGCGAGGAGGCAGAGGCAGCCTACACTGTGCCGAGGGCCGAGCGAGGGACGGGCCCCGTGGGGCTGCGCGGGGTGCGGTGTGCAGGCCACGAGGCCGGCCTGAGCCTCTGCAACACCTCCCTGCCCGAGGCCGCGGGCATCGTGGAGGACGTGGGGGCCGTGTGCCGGGGTGAGCAGCACGTCCCCTGGATGCGGGATCGGGCGCGCGGCCGGCCTCTGACAGCCGGGGCTTCCCCCCGCTGCAGGGAGCCGCCAGGTCCAGCTGGTGGACGGGGCTGGGCGATGTGCAGGGAGAGTGGAGATCTACTACCGGGGGCAGTGGGGCACGGTCTGCGACGATGCCTGGGACACGGCCGACGCCAACGTGGTTTGCCGCCAGCTGAGCTGCGGATGGGCCGTGGAGGCGGCCGGCTCGGCTCGCTTTGGGGAGGGCTCTGGGCACATCTGGCTGGATGGCGTGAACTGCTCTGGGGCCGAATCTGCTCTCTGGAACTGCTCTGCTGAGGCCTGGGGACAGCACGACTGCGGGCACAAGGAGGATGCGGGAGTCATCTGCTCAGGTCTGTGCTGGGAGCCCAGGACGGGGAGGCCGGGGGGCTGAGGCCACCAAAGGCCGCTTCCCGAGCCTGGCCTGGGGACACCCCGTCCACCAGTGTGGTTGGGGGCAGTGGGGAGCACGGCCACCCTGATACTGAGCGGGGAGCACAGGGGGCTTCCTCTCTCCAGCCCCCAACCAGCAACTTCCCCCAGAGCCTTTCCTCCTTCCAGAATTCACGGCCCTGAGGCTGGAGAACAGCGATGGCTGCTCAATGGGACGTAGGGGAGCGTTTGCTCCATCTTGATGACTCCCTACACGGCGCCACTGGTGTGCAAGGAGCTGGGCTGCGGGGACACAGGGACCCTGGAAACGAGCATCTACTACAGCAGGGTGAATGGCACCGCCTGGCTGGATCGCGTGCAGTGTGGGGAGAGCAACAGCTCCTTCTGGCAGTGTCCCTCTGATCCCTGGCAGCTGCAGTCCTACGATGATGTGCGAGAAGAGGCCAGCATCACCTGCAGTGGTAAGTGAGCCACCTGGGCACAAGATCCTGCTTCCCTCACCACGACCAAGGTGTCACGGCGAGGTGCAAGCAGAGGCCCGCCCTGCACAGCTTCCTTCACTGCTACATTTCCTTCTGCAGGGACAAAGCCGGAAAGGACGCCGGCAGCTGCGTGCCCCAATTCCACGAGCTGCAGAGGTGGGAGCTCCTTCTCCGTGTGACTTCTCGCCCAGTTGTGCCGGTGCCATGGGAGGTCACTGCCTCTGCAGACAGGGAGAAGATCCGTGCTGTGGGAGGCAAGGACGGGTGCTCGGGCAGAGTGGAGGTCTGGCACCGTGGCTCCTGGGGAACTGTGTGCGACGACTCGTGGGACATGCAGGACGCCCAGGTGGCATGCAGGCAGCTGGGCTGTGGCCCTGCGCTGTCTGCCCTGGCCGAGGCTGCCTTTGGGGAGGGGGCAGGACCTATCTGGCTGGAGCAGGTGGAGTGCAGGGGCACAGAGCCATCTCTGCAGGATTGCTGGGCCCAGACTGCATAAGGAAGATGCAGCTGTGAACTGCTCGGGTGAGTAGCTGGGGTTACTCAGGCTCTGCTCACCGCCCAGAGCTAAGCAGAGCTCTGGGCTGCGTTCTGGCCTTGAGGAAGGGACAATCTGGGTGGGATGTGTTGGCTATATCAGCCAGTGGTCTGCCTGGTACACAAACCCACCTCTCAGCTCGGCTTTTCTCTGCAGCTGCACCCAGGATGACAGCTTCCCCCCCACAAAGAGGTAACATCTCCTCCCACTGGAGCTGGGTCTCCCCCCGACCCAGAACTGGGGCTTCTTACTGGGATATGAAATGCCCAGGAAGAGGCACCAGGCTGGTGGATATATGGGGAGGGCCATCATGTACCCAATGCGCTGGGAGGTTCCCCATCATCCACCCCCTGCCCCTCTATCCCTTACTGCCCCCAACTCTCACGCACGTGCCGGGTGCTGCTCCTGCCACATTCCTTCCTTGCAGAGCCCATCCTGAGCTATGCGACCGTTAGCAGGAGAGTCTCGGTGCCTGTCATCATCTGCATCATCCTGGGGCTCCTTATTTGCCTACTCCTGGCCCTCCTGGCAAGGCAGATGCAAAGCACCAGAGCTCGGCGCAGAGGTAGGTCCTGACTCAGCGGTGCGTGGGATGTGCCGTGTCACTCCATTGGCATCCAGCAACAAGCAATAGAGAGAGCCCAGTGGTGGGGGAGTTCATGGTGGAGCGAGGGGAGAAGTGGCAGAAGGAGGCTGGGGAAGCACAGCAGGGTCTCGTCTCCGTCCCCAGACTCCAGGAGATCTGGGGAGCCCTTCTCTGAAGCCGTGTATGAAGAGATTGAGTACAGCCCAGTGAGGGAGAAGAAAACGAGATACAGTTTCTCAGGTGGGTGCAGGTCCATGCAGGAACACATTTGACAACACTTTTCTCCAGCCCCAGCCCACAGCTCAC